TACCTGTACTCCCAGCTACAGAGGAAGCACAGATTATGGATTGTGGTTTGAGACCAGTCTGGGCAAAAAGTTAGCAAGACCACATTTTAATCAATAGGCCAGGTGTAGTGTTGTGTCTGTGGCCCCAGCTATGCCAGAGGCTGTAATGTAAGAGGATCACAGTCCAGGTTGGCCTGAACCTACCTGCAAAGTAATTACGGCAAAATAGAGCTGGAGGTGTGGCTCAAGTTGTAGAGAGCCTACCTAACAAGCACAAGGCTCTGAGTTCAAATGTGACTTTGAATCTTGCTTAGAAGGAAATGGGAAATAGCTACAGATTAACAAATTATTGCAGGTAGGAAGAGGATGTGATTAAATATGAAATCAATAAAAGAAAGCAAGCTCTAATAGAAGTGAAAGAATGTGGATACAACCTGGGGAAGACTGGCAAGCTCTCAGAGCTCACACCTGTCTCCTTTCAAGTGAGGTGCTTAGGGTCAATGCAGAAAGGCATGCAGAATTTTAGCAGGGAGAGGGCTTCCCATGTCCTAACAAATACTCATCTAAACGTGCAGAGAAGGTCCAACATGCAAGTAAAAGTGAGTATACAGGTATGAAAGCACCATGTTCCCATAATCTAGCTTTAGTCAGAGTTTTGGCTGCAGAGGCCTGGGCTTTACAGTTCATAGAGATTCCCAGAATCTGGGCAAAGACTGGAAGTATGTGACAATCAAACACAGCTTTGCTCTGTATTCAAATAACCAAGTCATTATCCGTCTTTCTAAAAGTGAGTTTAGGGAAAGGAGGGCGGGACGCACACAGTTTCTATGTGCAGAAAAGTGGCAGGGAACAGGAAGGAGGGCGAAAATGGGATTAAAAGTCTTGCTTTCCACAAACCTCATTTCATGGTATCAAGGACCTAAGATGCTTCATGTACAATACAGTCAGACACGATTTGAAATAACTGATAGGATTTGGACAGCTGTGGAACAAACAAGAAGCTTATATTTTAATCACTTCAAGTTACTGCGCCATGCTGAGTTCATGAATACACCACAGCCAGACTGGAATAATAGAGCCAGGGATGTAGCTCAGTGGTTGAGTGTTTGCCTAGCAGGCTTGAGGCTCTTGGTTCAATTCCCAGTACCGCAAACTGGAATAATTGAAAGGGACTATGGACAGAGAAGGGTGAAGGTCAGGAATTTTGTTTGGTTTTGGTTTTTAAGCCTTGTAATCAGTAGGATTTCTTATTGTTATCTGTGCATACTTGTGTGGAGTGCATGGGAATTCACTGTTTTCCTTCTTACTTGGACATTTCCAATATCAGGGAGTATAGTTTACATGTATAACCCATTCATGGGATCTGAACTAGCTAATTTGGACCTTTCTTAGGGTGTTATCAAGCAGAGGAAGTTACTGAAAGAGGACATTGTGTGCAAAGGCCCAGTGGCCTCAAAGAGTATAGTCCTGAGAGAGGTGAGAAGTAATGTGAGACTAGAAAGCAGGGCATGTCTTGGGAAGGAGCAAGAGTCAAAATGAAGAAAGTAGGCAGAAAACAGATAAGAAGAACCATCTGTGCTAACAAGTTTCAATACTGTCTGTAAGTAATGGTTAACGATTGGAGGGATTTTAATGAATAAAGATATTCATTTTTTTGGAAAAAAAATCTTCCTGGAATCAGAGTTGGCTAAACTTGGGTCAAAAAAATTACTGTGGTAGCTTTTGCCATGCTCCAATATAAAGAGGACCCAGTGAGAGAGGTTGGGGTGGTGGGGGTATAAACAAAGGGACAATCAGAGAAGTCTCTGAAATCCACTGAAGAACAGCACATTGACATTGAGAGAGAAAAGGGAGCCCCACCTGGCCACCCAGCCTCCAGGTGTGATGAAGGGAGGTGGCAATGTCCTTACTTGCTCAAGGATCTTCAGAGAGACAGCAAACCTGGATTCAGCAACGATGAACTCAACTTCAGACATGTTGAGTCTGAGGCAGCTGCTTAAATATGCAGGTAGATCAAAAGGTGGTTGGAATTATGGTCTTGAGACACAAGTGTAGAAGTCACCAGCATATAGTAAAATAAATTTCACTTGCCACACAAGTACATGAAAACACCTGGAGAGACTGTACTATGAGAAAAAAAATTGCAAGCAAGATGCCTGGGTAGCAACCTTCAGGGATGGAGGGAGGATGACTGGAGAGAGTGGAAAGTAGGAGGGAAAGCCTAGATGGGGAGGAGCATGAGGTGAAGATCAGGGAAGCAAAGGGAATTTCAAGGCGTATGCTACCATCAATGGAAACAAATGTGGCCGAGAGGAATGGGGCAGGACCGCTGAGAAATGCTGATTGGATGTAGCAGCCATGCTTCAGGAGCCCCTGCAGAACAGCAAGAATGGAAGCAGTTGTAATGGGTGAAATGCAAACAATGAGGAAACAGACAAAGCAAGGGTTGAACACTTGTTCCCCAAAGATCTACTTGGTGTGAAGGATAGATGGTGGGTGGGAAAGGGCATGACTTCTAGAGGAGTTAAGAAAGACTTGGATGTCTTTATCTTTGCTTTACAAGCACAGGGCAGGGTAGGGTAGACAGAGCATGGAACTGGGATGTATGTAGACTGAGTCCAAAACTAGTTGATGTGGCCACTAGATTGTGATCTGTCAGGTATTGATAAAGATGATAGTGATAATAGCAAACTTACACAGTACAATGTTCGGAGTGCTCCTTTGTATGTGGTTTTACATATGTGAATTCCTCTTCCTCTCATACCTGCTCTGTTAAGTAGGTTGTATCATCCACTTTCTGTGTAATACAGGGAAGTTAAATACCCTGCCCATTTTGTGTTCTGCCCACCGTATTAAGCACATGCATTAAATCAGAGCCAACCAAAATGATATATAAGTTTAGTTATCAGCAGATTTAGAAGAATTTTGGGAGCAGGGACCAGGGCTTTGCTGTCAGTTGTCTTAAAAAGCCTTGCTGTCTTGGCAACTGTTTCATGTCACCAAGAGATTGAATACCAACTAAAATTTCTGTCCTGTTGATATTATTTGACCTTTAGCTTTCTTGGGAGAAGGTTTAGTAGGGAATGCCAACCAAGAGTTAGTTTGTGGTGATAGACCTGAACTAGTCATAAGAATGAAATGCAAATTTTGGGAGCCATTCTGGCAGAAATGAAGGAAGGATGTGGAGAAATGAAGATGGAGATGGTATCCTGCTGCGACAAAGATGGTCTTGACCACATAGTTGGATGAAGTTTTAAGTTGGCAGTTGGTAATCACACTCATGAAAACTTGGGCAAACTTTTGTGTTTGATGGCTTAAGCTTTCCCTTGCTTTATGCCCATCACTCAGAAAAGGTAGCCTTGTTTGAAAACTTGTAAGAATAATAAGGAACATGTTAGTCTTTTACTCTCATATTGTCATGTGCTCACAGCAACTGACAGAAATAATTGCTCAGAATTTACTGTGTTCCAGGCATAGTGCTGTGCTATGTGAGCCTCTCATTTTTCCTTTACAAAAGTTTTCTGGAGATTGCTCACTACCATCTTCACTTTACACTTGAGGAAACTCAGGTTTGCTGATGTCATGTTCTCTGTCCAGGGTCACAGAGTTTGCAAGCAGCTAAGTTGAGATACAAACCAGGTGCTGTGGGTCCAAACTCAGGCACTTAACTCTCTGTACTATACATAAAATAGATGTTATCTGGAACTCGGCACTTCCTTCAGAGATGGCATAGCTTCCACATCCACGCATGAGAGGAGCAACCACAGACAAACCTCCTTAAGTTCTACTGGCTTCTGTGAGGACTGGTTCAAGAGAATAAATGTCAGGGCAGAGTTGAATCTACTAAGAAATAGTCTGCCTTAATGAAAGCAGAAAAGCTTCCTATGTCCGTAGTCTTGCCAACTAGGCCATTAAAAATATTTATTTCCTTTTTCAGTGTCAAAGGGCTGTGCACTTGAATGTACCTGGATGTTGTTGACATTTGCAGGCTGCATAGTGAATTAAGACTGGAATGACCAAAAGAAGGCTCTGGAGCTAGTAATAGTACTTTGTGCTCATGTGGCTTCTCATTGCTCCTTGGCTGGGAGACAGAAATGAACACAAGGCCATCACTGATTTCCCCTAATAGAGTTCATAATCCAATGGTGGGGAGGCAGAAATCACATAAATTCACCAAAAACAGTTAAACACTGTACATTGGATTTAGGAAAATCTCTATTAAAATTCTAAGTTTGATTCCTTCCTCAGCTACACCAGCTCTGTGCTAATAAACATAAAATTCAATGCTCTAAAATAACTGAAGAAGGATGAATAAGGCTGCTAGCATACAAAATATAGTTTAAAATGTTGGGTATGCAGAAGAAATGGCATATTTCAATAAATATCCTCATTACCTATGCATTTATATTTATCACTATATTATGAAACAGACACAAGTACTGATATTGGCCAGCTTTGATATGGAAACTTAAAACAAATGTATAAAAATGCATCTCATTGCTCCTTCCCTGTGCTTCAGTTTCTGCTGTATTGTCCTGAAAACTGATAGGAGACATTCTAAGGAAGACTTGAGAACAGCAGCTCTAAGCCAGAAAGATTTCCAAATCTGTGTTGTTCCTTATGACTTTCTTTTTCCAAACCCAAACCAAAAGTTATAAAAGATATATTCAAGCATATATTCAAGATATATTCAAGTTCAAACCTTTATTAAAAGTTTTGTTTTGCCTTTGATATTAAAACCCAGTAAAAGTACTTAGGAAATAAATTTACTCTAAACCTTAATCCATGGCAATTATCTCCCATGAGCTCATATTGGACAAAATTAACCTTCAGCTCCTGACTGTCTAGGTCCCTGGAAAATTCATAAAGCAAAATTTACACACTTTTGGATTCTGGAAAGAATGTCTGTATTTTCCTACCTTTCTATGAGTTGTCTTGTGATAGCACACTGATGGTATTATTGAATTTATTTCTGGTACTCTTTTTTAAAATAAATTTTATCCTACTGATTTTCCCTACAGGCTCAATTTGAACTCCAGGCATTTCGTATTCGAGGAGAGCATGCAGTGATAACAGCAAGACTGGAAGAAACCATTGAAAACCTCAAACAAGAGTTAGAAAACCGATGGGGAGAAGGATGTGAGGAAATGAAAGATGCATGCATCTCCACTGATGACGGCTGCCCTCCAAAGGCCTTCAGGAATGTGTGCATCCAGACAGACAGAGAGACCTTCCTCAAACCCTGCGAAGGGGAAAGCAAGACAACCAGAAGTAACCAAATCATTCCCAAGAAGTTGAACATCACCTCTTTAAGCCAGTTGTCCCCCTCGAAAGACAACAAAGACACTCATGCTCCCCTTCAGACTGAGGAAGGCCTCTCACCAAATCAGAAGGCATCTCCTCCGCCTCCCACAACCCCACCTCCACCTCCTCCCATCCCTCCTCCTCCACCCCTCCCACCTGGACTTGGACCTCTGACACCACCTGTGAGTGCTGGGCCACCACCTCCGCCACCTCCACCTCCTCCACCACCTCCCCTTCCTCCAAGTGCTGGGCCTCCCCCACCTCCTCCGCCACCACCGCTTCCTAATGCCCCAGCTCTGCCCAACAGTGGAGGGCCACCTCCTGCTCCGGCACCCCCAGGACTTACACCCCCACCTCCTCCTGGACTCTTCTTTGGACTCAGCTCTTCTTCTAGCCAGTGTCCTCGAAAGCCAGCCATTGAGCCTAGTTGTCCCATGAAGCCCTTGTACTGGACTAGAATACAAATAAGTGATAGGAGGTGAGTTCTCCCCTGGCCCATTCTCAGTTGTGAATTTACAGGATTCTGCTGCCCAAGTGAGGATTTATTCTTTGCAGTTAGTATCTGCATAGATACTTGGATAAGCAAGATTGGGGTGTGTGGGGAGACTGTCTCATCAAATCCTCTTTAGGTTTTCCATGGTTGATGTTGGGAGAAGCCATGTGTCCAGTGTCAGAGTCTTCTCTAAGATAGATGTTCCACTTCATAGACTGAAGAAGAGTCCAGGTCTGAGCTAGGCCTTGACCAGTGTGTCACTGTAATTAGTGGGTCATTATAAATTGAGCGTGAGTCTATATGATAGGTTCACTAATAACATTTAGAATATTTTTTATGACGCACATTCTTATTTTTAGGTGATATCATCAACTCTATGAAAATCTAAGTATTCAATACTTAGATTTCTATCACTGTGACAAATGCCTGTGGAGAACAACTTAAAGGGAGGAAGGATTTATTTTGGTCCCTTATTTCAGAGGTTTTGATCCATCATGGCAGGGAGAGTATGGTAGAGCAGAGCCACTCACATCATGGTGACAAAAGCAGAGAGAATGCCTGCGTTTGTGGGCTCTCTCCTTTTCTCCCCTTTATTCTGGCTGGGCCCCCAGCCTATGGGATGGTGTCACCCACATTCATCGAGGCACTTCCCACCTGGATTAATCCTCCCTGGGAAACCCAGAAGGATGCTTTACTAATTTCCTAGGCCCTGCTTAATCCAATCTAGTTCACAATCAAGGTTAGCAATAACACCTGGATATTTTTACAGCTACATGTAGCTTTTGTTTTTTATCAAATGAATGAGACATGACTGAAGGATTGGTTCTTCAGATTGGAAGAGAGTGTTAAAATATAAACTCTCTCTACTTGCACTCTGGTCCATCTAACTACTCACACCCTCCATCTTTATTCCTTATTTCCCCTCAGAGAAAGTGACAGAGTGTGGTTAGCTAAAATAGAAAGCATTTTCTATTTGCAAAAGTTATTAAGCTGAGTCTGTATAACTTGGACAACTCCCCTCAAGCAGATGTGAGTCTGGTTTCTTCTGCCTCCTTCCTGAGCCTCTCCAGGGGACACTGAGAGAGATGCTGAGTTGTTTCTTGAGCACTTTCTAGTTTTGAAATTTGTTTGCAAAGAACATATAATAGAAAACATATTTCTAAACTTAGTCCCCAAACCAAGATGTAGTAGTAAAGTTTTAAGTTTATATAACATTTTGCTTAGGGAAGGCAGAACACTAAACAAAATAACATATAATTCACAATTATAAAACAATTGGAAATTGTTATGGGAGGAATGGGGAAATACCTTAAAATTAAGCACATGTTGGATGATATTTTCTCCTCTCATCAAAAGTAAGGGCCAAGAGTTTATGGAGTGTCATATATTTAATGCTAACACTTGATAATTTCCCAAATGAATTGCTCAAAAGAGAAAGTGGGATGATCCGAAATAGCTCCTACCACTAACTCGAGTACTAGTGTTCCCATTCACAATACAGATATTTCCTAAGAAACAATTTCCCAGAATATTTACTTTGAGCTGTGTTTCTTGTGTCTTTACTGGTGTTCTCAAATTAGTGTGCAGTCATTGTAGGGTGATGAGTCCCACCTGTTGACCCTGGCGTAGCATTCTGGCAGCACATGGAGCTTTTGCACACCTGTGTCTCCTAGCCTGCCTTTGCTTCCTCCTGAGAGACTTCATGAGCAACTGTTGTCATAGAGCATAGCAACCATAAAACAGTCCCACTGGGAAACATGGGCCCTTGGCGCCCATTGAAGTTGGGACAAAGGCAGCAGGGGATAACCATCACCAGTGCTTTTTCCTGGAGTAGTGTGCTGTTTGAGAAGGAAAACAATGGAATACTGAAGCAATCATTGTTATACCATAAAAGCAAAATCAAAAGTATGGACTACCAGGTGAATAGCCTGAGCTCTCAAGAGTCTGGGTGGGCTCCCCCTTTATCATGTGTTAAGATCCCAGTATGCCCTCTTCCTGCCTGCACCACACATTTGGTCTCTTTCATCATGGGTAGGTCTCTCAAAATATTCTCTACCTCTGCACACAACTACTTTGTTTCAGTGGAAATGATCTAAAGTGTCTGTATAGTGTTCATTGATGAACAAAAATAATTTATTTAGGAGTATTTTCTTCAAGGAGGTGAAATAGCATTTTAATATTTTGTGCAACCACAGTGGTGAGTACTCTGTGTATTCATGGTAAATTTTGGTCTCTGTCTTGTGGGGAACAAGGACCAAAATGTAAGTGTATCTCATCCACCAGGATTGCTTTGCACTACTAGTATATACTGATATTTTTTCTTTAGCTATTTTTCCTTCTTTGATGTCTGTTTTCTCATTTGTAGAATAGGAAAGGGACATTTAGTTAAAGGAAAGGAAAAAACCCTCACATAACTACTTTTTCAGCTTTCTAGTAAGTTTCCCCTCCCTCTGTCCACCTCTTCCCACTTTCCACCCTTTTCAGTTTTATGTGCTTGGTACTCATAGAACACTTGACCATTATGGCAGGTCATCCATATGAGCAGGTTCTTATAGCTCTACCAAATACCAACTGCCTCCAAGTCTCTGCAAAGAGTTCTAACATCCATTTATTCAGTACTGAAGATGCCTTTCCTACGGAAACAGTGCTATAAGTGGTGATGGACTGCTCAACTTGACTCCCAAGTCCAATGTACTTCAGAATATGAAGGAATTACAGCACTAGTAATACTGGCCCAACCTGGTGCCCATGGAGCTGGAGCCAAGCAGGTGTTGTAGGAAAGAGGGGATGGATCTGGACTGTGTGACTGACCCCAGCATCCCCTTCCTGTGAGCACCCTTCCTACCAGCTATCCAGGAGTTTCCTGAAGCCCAGACCAGCATCACTTCCCATGCCGCCTGCTCCCCGGCTCTCCTCTCCAGACTAGAGCCCCTTTCCTTTGCACAGGTCACTTAACATAATGCTATCCACTTTTCAAATTGAAGTTGATCGAGTAGCAAAAAGGCTTGGTTGAGGGAGGCACATGTAGATGGACGTATTTCATTGGAAATGTTGCAGCCCTGGGTTGAGTGATAGTTTCCCAAGTGTTCATTGAATTGTTATAACTTAGTAGCTTGCAGATGTCACATATATACAAAAAATGGATCAAATATTATATTAGAAAAATTATAATAAAAATATCAAAAAATGAAGGAGCAAGTAAATGTGACCAGAACTAAAGTGTCATATTTCATAAGAAAGCAGATCATCAGATGACCAGTTGGTTTTCTAGGTGTGTGCTGAAATGTTCTGTAGTATATTTTGACCTTAAAAATGAAAAGCTTCCCTCTAAGCTTTGGTAGTGTTATATGTTTTTTTTAAAATGAAATAAAAATGAGTTGCAGGAAGATTTCATTGTGCTACATTCTCTTCTGCTTTGAGTCTTAATTTATTGCTTTCTCTTTTAAGCCAAAATGCTGCACCAACCTTATGGGATTCCTTAGAAGAACCTGACATTCAGGACCCTGGTGAATTTGAATATTTGTTTTCCAAAGACACAACTCAACAGAAGAAAAAACCTCTGTCAGAGACCTATGAGAAAAAGAACAAGGTCAAAAAGGTAATGTGTGATTACAGTAACAGTTCTAATTAAATGTGTGTTTTTTGTCATCCCTGGGAATTCACTGCTTACTGCTGCTTTATTTTTCTTTGACTTCAGAAAGCATTTTCAATCAGAGGTGGAAAAAAGTTCAAGAAATCTGTGCTTGCTATTTAAGTCACATCTTCTGAATTTTCAACATTAATTTGAACTCTAACCATTCATTCTGTTGACAAAAAATGTTTAATTTGCTGTTAGTGCCAGTAGTTTGTAGGCTGTATGAAAAATAAGTGTCCTGATTATAAATTTATTCATATAACAAGTTTATTGGTAATTTGTGGTTCGAGGCACCGCAGTTCAGAACAGCAACATGTGGCCATTTATATAAGATTAAATCAAACAGATCATTAATCCTTCAATTACACTAGCCACTCTCCAATTGTGTCCATATGGCTATCATGTGGAATAGCCAGGAACTATGCATTTCCATCATTACAAAAGGGATACTGGTCAGTACTGCCTTTAATATCTGGAAAATGCTGGTAGGAAAGAAAAAAAAACCCAAATGACCTTTGCCTATGGAGTTTATGCTACTAGTCAACATGAAAAGCCAAAGTTGAGAGTCCCATAGTGGAGCAGGGTGAGGACTGGCTTTGGCAAGGTGGGGAGGGGGTCTGTGTTTTAAGTGGAGTTTTCAGGGTAGGCCTCATTGAGGTCACTTTAGAGCAAGACTTGAGGACTGGAAAGCCAAGAGCCATGGGTCATCTGTAACAGAACCGAGTGTACAGCATCAAGTCGTCAAGCAGACATGAGGCTGAAACTCATCTTGGTCCCACACTGCATGATCCTTGTGCTGACTGTGCCCTAGATCCTTAGTCATAACTCAAGATGATGTCTGCTGTGGCTAGACAAGTGTCCCCTAGAGGTCCATGTGTTAAAGACCTGGCCCTGAGGGTAGTGCTAATGGGAGGTGGTGGAACCTTTGGAGGTGGGGCCTCCAAAAGTAGGAGGCCTGAAGTCATGGGGGCATGCCCTTGGAGGAGACTGTGGGATCCTGGTCTCTTTTTCTTTCTTACTTCCTGGCCCATGAGGTGAGTGATTTTTTTTCCATCATGAGCTGCCCTTGCCAGAGGCCTGGAGCAAAGGCATCACCTGATTTTGGAGTTCAACCTCCAGAACCATGAGCCAAAACAAACCTTTTCTCCCTTTATAAATCAATTGCCTCAGGTATTTTGTTACAGTGATGGAAAGCTGACTAACATAACATCCACTCATAGTCATGTGCCTGCATGCTTAGCATAGTTCCAGGCACAAAGTCAGTCCCCAGTCTGTGACCACTGCTCTGTTGCTGCCACTACTACTGTTTCTCTGCTTTAGTGTTTTGGTAATGGAGGAGATGGTATTATGGAGATGTTAGAGTATTGGTTCTGCTGTTGATTGGACTGGTGGTCTTCCTTCTCACATTTTTCCCTCTTCTATAAAACAGGATTAACAATCCCCACACATACCTGATTCATCAGGATGCTGTGAAATTCAAATCTATGAGAAGTGTTTTGAAAACCATATACCAAATGATATTGCTGTTGTTGACACTTCCTTCTTAAGTTACATGGTGGGAGTCCTCCACCAGTTCATTATCATAGGCAATGTTAGGATTATGAAGTCAGCCTCGACTTACCAGGGGAAGATGCCTGACTGTACTTTTCTGTTAGTCAAATCAGATTTACCCGTGGACTTTCTTCATGGATGAAAACCATGGTCAATGATTTTCATCTCTCAAGTTCACTAGAAGTTGAGAGAAAAATGCTTCAATAATACTTAAGTATCAGAGATAATCTTTTATGAGAACACGTTGCATGGAACAACTTGAATTTTTCTAAGAAAATAGTTCCAGGGTAGAAGTCAACTGACAAACTCTGAAATGTATTCCTGTGCAGTTAGATTTCCATGAGATGGTGTGTGGGTATGTTAAGCTAGCTTTTTTAAACACCATCTGTAGAAACAAAGACTACTGTTGCTACATGAAAGGGAAAAGGAGACTCTACATCCCAAAGCCAGCCTCAGTTTACCTCCCCCAGGAAAGCTGCTCTGGCTCACCAGAAACTCTGAATGTTTTCTTATGTAATACTGTGCTAAACTTGCTTGTGCTCTTTTTCCCTTCTTAGATATCCATTCCTCCTTTTGTTTCTCTGTGGATGCTTAGTAACATGTTGTTTACTCATAACATGAATTATTTCTGTTTTGGTAAATGAATATTTGTTTTAAAATATCAAAGCATTTGTTCATTTATTCTTATTTCTTATCTCATAATTGTTTGCCTGTTCAACAGTGGATTTTAATTAAGGAAGTTAGTACTTACAGTATTTGTCTTATTCCTCTGTCTCAGGGGGAATATCCTTTATTTGAACTCTTGGAGCTTTCTGACTAGTGATGTTCCATCACCCCATCGAATCCATGCACACATGTAGTGCTTGCTGATTTCTGTAAGAGGGGGCAAAAATGTTTGGTCTCCTGGACATTGTGTTAGGGATGCTCCTTGGAGTTTTCAGTGAGCCTTGTGACCTACCTTACAGCCAAGATTTTAAGTTTAAAAGAAAATAATAAGCTGAGCCAATGCTGAAAATAATAAGCTGAGCCAGTGCTCCAAACCTGCCTCCTGTGAGTGTTCCCTTTGTGCCTGTGGCCAGATTTCTAACATGGAGATGGATCCCTTGGTCTCTTTTGAGACTCAGATATTTGTTATCTTTTCCCTTGAAATGAAAATGAAAGGGTTTTTGAGGTGGTGAGCAGCTGAGGCAGCTCAGCCTAACCATAGAATGGTTTCCTTACAAAAGACCAGGATAACACTGGCCAAATAGGTCTTTTTATAATGACTGAACTGGAGAATGAACTGTGTATGGTGGAGATTAAAGGCCTAGCATTTCTGCATCTTGGCTATAGGGGCACAGCAGGCATGCACAGCATAGTCTGTGGCTCACCTTTATTTAAGCTTTAGTTTGCCACACTGATGATAACAACAACTTTTTTGGGTGTGTGGGGGGTAGGGGGAGACTACTTGATACAGGGCTTTACTGTGAAGTCTAGGCTGGCCTGTAACTCTCTATGAAGCCCAGAATGGCCTCAAACTCGATCTTCGTACCTCAGCTTCCCAGGTACTAGGATTATAATAACTTTTATTGAAATGAATGATTTGAAATATACAAATGAGAGCAGCCATTACTACAATCAATATGTCACAGCTACACTTGACCAAATCCAAAGTATTTCCTACATTGTGAGATTATCCCAAGGAGTCTTCAGAGTCTTCCAATAGGAAGCCAAATCTTTGGTTTAAAAATGTGGTTTACATACAACTCCAAACAAATAGGTAGGTTTAGAGCCTGGTGTTTTCCTTTGGCTCTGTCCCATTTTAAATATTAGCTATAGCAAAAAAAAAATTAGGGATGGCAGAGTGGCTCAAGTGGTAAGAGCTTCTGCCTAGCAAGTGTGAGGCCCTGAGTTCAAACCCCAGTACTGCCAAAACACAAAAAATTAAATATTAATTATAACCACTTTGTGTTGCATATTCACATGGGTCCCCTACAAACATAGTAGTAACCAAATTGAGAATCAGAGGTTAGAACACCAGTGATTGCTGGTACCACCAACACTTGGTAGTCTTTTATTTTTTTCTCTCTTCTTACTAACTTTAGAGCAAGTGATTTAACCTTACCACATGGATTTCTTCTCTGTAAAATTGCAAATAACAATTCCTTAAAAATGAGTGTTAATTAGAATGAAAGGAAACTGTCATTATGAAAATCCTTTGATGTCTCTGGGACTTTAGTCTCTCTTAATTTATGAACTAATATGAAAGCTTTGAAAGGAAAATCTTGCCAGCCATGCTGGCACCTACCTGTAATTCCTGCACTCAGGAGGCTGAGGCAAGTAGATCATGAGTTCCAAGCCTGTCTCAAAAAAGAAAAAAATGTTGAACATCAGTGATTCCCGTGAAGGTCATAGCCTTAGAACATTAGTACTCTCTAGAGCACTTTTGGTTTTCAGTATTTATAGACGCATTCCACAACTTGCTTTAATGATACTTTCCAACATCTAGTAGCTCATCTCAGGTTGGTCTGTATACTTTCTTTGCATTGACCGTTTCCAGCTGTCAATATGCCTGTCTTTATACCATCCCTACGTTACTGTTGTTCCAGAGCATGAAGGTCAGCACCTTGACACAGATCCGAAAATCTGCCAGCATTGTCTGAAATTCTTTCTCCTGGCTCCTGACAAGGCAGTAGCCACTTTGATAAGCTTTCCAGTTTTCATTCTAAACTTGTCTGACAGAAAATCAGCAAGACCTGCCAATATTCCTCTTCTCTTGAAATGCCACAGTCTGAATTATAAATCAGCTGTTTGTTTCCTCTTTTGTAAGATATATTAAAGCATTCCTTTGTCTTTTTAGTAGATATTTCTTAAGAATTAATGAGATACTGGCTATTTTCTTTGAGCATTATAGGGAAGGGGGCTTGAGATGGTTGCAGATGCTAGTCTTTTGAAACTTTCAGGTGCCAAAAGCCTTTGGCATTGATTATAATTTGGCACTTTGGCGAGGATTGTAGCTTTAATTCTTAAATCCCAGACTTTGTGTCTCAATTTATTGGGGAGGGGGAGGATGGAAGGAGAACATTGTTTGGAAGCCTGAACATAAATTTATAGGGTTTTCATAACCTGTTGCTTTCCAAGTTTATATTATTTCAACTTTTGTGACAAAGATAATTTCTCTGGGCTGCCTTGGAAAGGTATGCACGCTATTTTTCCCCTTAGGATAAGTTTGTCTACCCTTTTTCATTAGTCATGTGTTTGATAAATGAGCTTTGGAGTTATGGGTTATCATCTATAGAATGCCTGTGTGATGATTGTACCAATATATGACCTGGGATTATTAGTGCTCTGTCCAGATTCCTTGAGTAGGGTCTGGAATGATTAGAGTGTGCCTGTTGTTCAGCTTTTAAAGTATCCTAATGGGCCAAACTTGC